TTCCTCTTAAGACTGCTTTCGCTGCATCCCACAGAAGTTGGGGCTTAGTGTTGTTGTTGTCATTTGTTTCTATATATTCCTTGATCTCTATTTTGATTTGTTCATTGATCCATTGATTATTTAGTAGCATGTTGTTAAGCCTCCATGTGTTTGTGAGCCTTTTTGTTTTCTTTGTAGAATTTATTTCTACTTTCATACCTTTGTGGTCTGAAAAATTGGTTGGTAGAATTTCAATATTGTGGAATTTACTGAGGCTCTTTTTGTGAGCTAGTATGTGGTCTATTCTGGAGAATGTTCCATGTGCACTTGAGAAGAATGTATATCCTGTTGCTTTTGGATGTAAAGTTCTATAGATGTCTATTAGGTCCATCTGTTCTAGTGTGTTGTTCAGTGCCTGTGTGTCTTTACTTATTTTCTGCCCGGTGGATCTATCCTTTGGGGTGAGTGGTGTGTTGAAGTCTCCTACAATGAATGCATTGCAGTCTATTTCCCTCTTTAGTTCTGTTAGTATTTGCTTCACATATGCTGGTGCTCCTGTATTGGGTGCATATATATTTAGAATGGTTATATCCTCTTGTTGGACTAAGCCCTTTATCATTATGTAGTGGCCTTCTTTATCTCTTGTTACTTTCTTTGTTTTGAAGTCTATTTTGTCTGATATTAGTACTGCAACCCCTGCTTTCTTCTCACTGTTGTTTGCCTGAAATATGTTTTTCCATCCCTTGACTTTTAGTCTATGCTTATCTTTGGGTTTAAGGTGAGTTTCTTGTAAGCAGCATATAGATGGGTCTTGCTTTTTTATCCATTCTATTACTCTATGTCTTTTGATTGGTGCATTAAGTCCATTTACATTTAGGGTGACTATTGAAAGATATGTACTTATTGCCATTGCAGGCTTTAGATTCGTGGTTACCAAAGGTTCAAGGTTAGCTTCTTTAGTATCTTACTGCCTAACTTAGCTCGCTTATTGAGCTGTTATATACACTGTCTGGAGAGTCTTTTCTTCTCTCCCTTCTTATTCCTCCTCCTCCATTCTTCATATGTTGTGTGTTTTGTTCTGTGCTCTTTTTAGGGGTGCTCCCATCTAGAGCAGTCCCTGTAGGATGCCCTGTAGAGGTGGTTTGTGGGAAGCAAATTCCCTCAGCTTTTGCTTGTCTGGGAATTGTTTGATCCCACCATCATATTTAAATGATAGTCGTGCTGGATACAGTATCCTTGGTTCAAGGCCCTTCTGTTTCATTGCATTAAGTATATCATGCCATTCTCTTCTGGCCTGTAGGGTTTCTGTTGAGAAGTCTGATGTTAGCCTGATTGGTTTTCCTTTATAGGTGACCTTTTTCTCTCTAGCTGCCTTTAAAACTCTTTCCTTGTCCTTGATCCTTGCCATTTTAATTATTATGTGTCTTGGTGTTGTCCTCCTTGGATCCTTTCTGTTGGGGGTTCTGTATAATTCCATGGTCTGTTCGATTATTTCCTCCCCCAGTTTGGGGAAGTTTTCAGCAATTATTTCTTCAAAGACACTTTCTATCCCTTTTCCTCTTTCTTCCTCTTCTGGTATCCCTATAATACGAATGTTTTTCCTTTTGTATTGGTCACATATTTCTCTTAGTGTTGTTTCATTCCTGGAGATCCTTTTATCTCTCTCTATGTCAGCTTCTATACGTTCCTGTTCTCTGGCTTCTATTCCTTCAATGGCCTCTTGCATCTTATCCATTCTGCTTATAAATCCTTCCAGGGATTGTTTCACTTCTGTGATCTCTTTCCTGACATCTGTGATCTCCTTCCGGACTTCATCCCACTGCTCTTGCATTTTTCTCTGCATCTCATCCCACTGCTCTTGCATTTTTCTCTGCATCTCATCCCATTGCTCTTGCATTTTTTTCTGCATCTCTGTCAGCATGTTCATGATTTTTATTTTGAATTCTTTTTCAGGAGGACTAGTTAGGTCTGTCTCCTTCTCAGGTGTTGTCTCTGTGATCTTTGTCTGCCTGTAGTTTTGCCTTTTCATGGTGATAGAGATAGTTTGCAGAGCTGGTACAAGTGACCGCTGGAAGAGCTTCCCTTCTTGTTGGTTTGTAGCCTTTTCCTGGGAGAATAGCGACCTCTAGTGGCTTGTGCTGGGCAGCTGTGCGCAGACAGGGCTTCTGCTTCCTGCCCAGTTGCTTTGGGGTTTATCTCCGCTGTTGCTGTGGGCTTGGCCTGGCTGGGGCTGTTCCTCCAAAATGGTGGAGCCCCGTTGGAGGGGGAGCAGCCAGGAGACTATTTATCTCCGTAAGGGGCCTCTGTGCTCCCTGCTGCCCAGGGGGTTAGAGTGCCCAGAGATCCCCAGATTCCCTGCTTCTGGTCTAAGTGACCTGTCCTGCCCCTTTAAGATTTCCAAAAAGCACTCTCCAAACCAAAACAACAACAGCAACAATGAGAGAGGGAACAGAAAGGAAAAAAAAAAGAAAAAACACGCGATTTTTTTTTTTTTTTCCCCAGGTGCCGGTCCCAGGCACCCGCGCACTGGTCCTGCTGCCCTGTCTCCCTAGCACCAGGGTCCCTGTCCTTTCAAGGCTTCCAAAAAGCACCCACCCACCGGTCCCGCAGGGAAGGAACGCTCAATATTCTTGGTCCTCAGGCACTGGTCCCACGCACCCGCTCACCAGTCCCGCCGCCCTGCCTCCCTAGCACCGGGGTCCCTGTCCCTTCAAGGCTTCCAAAAAGCACTCGGCAAAAAGAGAGAAAAAAAAGGGGAAAAACGCGCGATTTCTTCCGTCCTCAGGTGCTGGTCTCAGGCACCCACCCACCGGTCCCACAGGGAAAAATGCGGGATATTCTTTGTCCTCAGGTGCCGGTCCCAGGCACCCGCTCACCAGTCCCGCCGCCCTGCCTCCCTAGCACCGGGGTCCCTGTCCCTTTTAGGCTTCCAAAAAGCACTCGCAGAAAAGAGAAAAAAAAAAGGGGAAAAACGCGCGATTTCCTCTGTCCTCAAGTGCCGGTCTCAGGCACCCGCCCACCGGTCCCGCAGGGAAAAACGGGGGATATTCTTTGTCCTCAGGCGCCGGTCCCAGCCACCCGCTCACCAGTCCCGCCACCGTGCCTCCCTAGCACTGGGGTCCCCGTCCCTTCAAGGCTTCCAAAAAGCGCTCGCCAAAAAGAGAAAAAAAAAAAAAGGGAAAAACGCGCGACCTCCTCCGTCCTCAGGCACCGGTCTCAGGCACCCGCCCCCAGGTCTCGCAGGGAGAAACGCGGGATATTCTTTGTCCTCCGGCGCCGTTCCCAGGCACCTCCTCACCGGTCCCGCCACCCTGCCTCCCCAGCAACGGGGGCCCGTCCCTCTAAGGCTTCCAAAAAGCGCTCGCCAAAAAAAAAAAATCCGCTCCGGTTTCTCTCCACCCGCCGGGAGCCGGGGGGAGGGGCGCTCGGGTCCCGCCGGGCTGGGGCTTGTATCTTACCCCCTTCGCAAGGCGCTGGGTTCTTGCAGGTGTGGATGTGGTCTGGATGTTGTCCTGTGTCCTGTGGTCTCTATTTTAGGAAGATTTTTCTTTGTTATATTTTCATAGCTCTATGTGTTTTTGGGAGGAGATTTCCACTGCTCTACTCACGCCGCCATCTTGGCTTCTGCTAATTATTTTTATATAACTGCTTCTGTGTGTCTTTACAGATGGTAACCATATTGCCAGTTCTTTCCCCAAAAGATTCAACATTCACCAAAACACTTTTGTTAACCAAACACTGTCCAGATAGTATTAAGAGCCAGATGTTTTTAGCATTATTATGCACATGTAGAAAAGTCTTGGGTTTGGGCACCAGTCTTTAAGGAAATCCTGTGGTCCCTGGTTCACCATTCATATATGTGTGTACTGTGTTAGCTGAGTGGAGCATCAATTAATAGCAATTGTGCTGAACATTCAGCTTACTAAAGTATGCAGCTATGAGATTTTCCGTTTCTGGGTTTTATTGTAATATCAGAACTCCAGGTGATATGCTTTGTGACACTAAGAAGTATCTACTGGATATTGAGGTCATGTTAATTATTGCTGATTTTCAGATATTATTAAAAATATTCCTGGATGTGTGCAGCCAAGTTCAAATGGAAAGCTAGGATCAGATAATTTATAATATGATTAAAGTGATAATAATAGAAATAAGAGAGGTATTATAATTATAAGGAAATTTAGTAGAAGGTAATACACGAAAATCTCTTTCGTAAAATAAATCTTTTTCATTGGGTTTTCAAATAGGCCAAGAAAAAATAGGAGAGCATTTCCATGTATAATTATATGAGTTTTCTTTTAGTCACTTCTTTTAGATTTTAGAATTGCATATTTTGTGAATAGACTTCAAATTTTAGGAAATAATTCCTGGAGGAGATTTTAATTAATATCACTAACCAAACTGCCTTTTATTTGCTTACAGAAGAGGCTTGGGGATAAGGCGTTAACTTCAGGTAAAAATAAATGGAAAATAATCCTAGGCTCCTGTAAAGATAAATAGGAACTCCCAGAGGGGAAAAGACAGGATAAGACTATAATCATTCTAATGACAAATAGTATGAAAACCAGGATACTATATTATATATAGCAAAAAGGCCATTATATTCAGAATTACTTAAAATGTGAGCTCTTGTATATATAGGATTGTGTATAACTTTTGTAAATAATGAATAAGGTAATAGAAAAACAAAAGCTCTCCAATCAGTACACTAAGTGAGAGAAGGGGCATTTTTCATAGAATGTTAAGATGCTAATATGTGAGATTTGCTCACAGAGAATCTGAGTACAGATCAAAGAAATGCATAGTATTTTGCAAAGGAAATACATTTTTGATATGCTTCGCGTGAACTCTGGTGGCAGAAGAGAATTTCATCATGTATTGATCCTTAACATTTAGTAGACTACATTTGATATTTATAAGGTATTTTTAACTCCTTAGACAAAGACACATTTTATTAATGTCTATATTTAAAATTTTAACACTATGGGACTTTTCTCTGTTGTCTTCCTAAACCTCTTAAGGTATGATCCAAAAACTGATTCGTGATCAACTGTGGCACCTCTGGGTGTTCCTCGAGTTGCTGGTGTTGTATGACCCCTTGGAGACAGGCTCTATGTGGTTGGAGGATATGATGGACATACTTATTTGAATGCTGTTGAGTCATATGATGCCCAGAAAGATGAATGGAGGGAGGTACTCATTGAAAGTAATAAGATTGGTATGTTTCAGATTTTAATAAAAGATTATAAAACATATGTTTGGAATTAACTGGATTACCTTCTCTAGGGGTTATCCAGATTATCTTAGAAGATTTTGTAGTGCATGCTCTATGTGTGCCACAGAAAATTGCTAATAGATCTAGTTGATCATTAGCAGGATACAAACGTGCTTATATGGAAGAGGGCAGAACATTCCTTTGACTTCATGGACTCATTCTCTTCAGAAGAAAGTGAATATATTCAATAATTTAAGAGCTTTACTCTCTGGCTGACTTTCTATGTATATATTATGATCTGTGAGTCAAAGAGCAATGTTCTCATCCACAAATGTCTGCTCCTAGTTTTGGCTTGTGCCCAAAAGTAAACAACAAAATGAAGGATGAGTATTATTAGCTGTAATTTCTCAAAGGAGAAAATTATCAGAGAGGTGAAACTTCTTCAATATCACCTGCTCCTCAAATTCAGGTCTGCATCACTCCAAAGATATGTACATTCTTTCCACCATCCTGGACTGTGATCTGGCCTGTATTTCCCCTTACTTTTATGTAAGATGAAGGATGGACCAGAAGAGCTAAGGACTTTTTCAGCATACCATATTATGTTAAAGACAGAGTTCTTTCAAACTGCATTTCTTTCCCTGTTTTTATTTTCTGTGTTAGGAAGCTCTTGTCAACATTGGAAGAGCGGGTGCATGTGTGGTGGTGATAAAGCTACCATAAAGCCATCTTTATCAAAGGGAAAGAAAATGGATACTTTCAGGAAATGGAGTAGGAAGAAGAGAAGAATGTTCTTTCCTTCAGATAGTAATCAATGATGAAAATTCTAGAGTCATTTTAATATGTAGTTATAATTGCTCTCATTTGTGAAGTCAGAACAAGTTTTCAAGAATAAATTACATATAGCTGTTAAGTGTGTTAAGTGTATATGTTGTCACACCTCATACTATAAATGGAAATCCAAGAGTCCAGGCTTAGCCTCATTACTTTAACATGTTAAAAGGTTTAAGGGAAACTGATAGTACCCAATGGATGAAATGTCATAAAATCATTGGTAATTTTTAAGTTAAGAGTCAGAAGTTAAAAAACATTTTCTATTTTAAGAAAAAAGGTCCTCTAATATCTGGAAAATAACAAATATAAAAGAGAACATCTAAAGCTGAAAATAGAAAGTCTCATTTTCAGTAAAATATCATTGTCTTACTCAAATATCATCCCAAATAGCTATATAATTCCTCACATTTAGCAAAAGGAAAGCCTTCACTGTGTTGAGGCTAAAAAACAAAAACAAAAAATAGCTCACTGACGTAATTTGTTACGCCGATCACAGTATGCTAAAATGTTCAAACCAACTCTTGTACAGGACCATCTTCCAAAGGACACAGAGATTTGTTATTCCTTAACATTTTGTCTTGTCAGATGTTACTAGTAAAATATTATTGCAATTTCATATATACAATCTATACAAAAAAGAGCAAATATTTTTCACATTGATATAAACTGTGACCTCACCTTTAAGAGTGTCAGGGCCTCACTTGTATAGAAAGTAATATTCTCCTCGAACATTTCTGTGAACTCCGTGAACACCTACAATAAAGTTAAACAAGTTTTCAAAACCAGTTTTTAACGTACAGTAACATTGGCAAGATGTTCTGTAATATTAACACATGGAAACACCAAATGTCCAATATCCACACTTGGTTTTTATTTTTATGATTTTATAATTATATTTTATGTACCAATACATTCTTCCCTGTTTTTGTAGTTATACATAAGAAAACATTAATGATGTGTGCACTACAAAAAAGCTTTTTAAATTGAAAACAACATAAAAGGATAGTTGGTTAGCACTTTACCTTTAAATTTATGCTATTATAAAAATATTTAAAATGAAATGTTGAAAATACTTCAAGAAGTAACTTTTCAAATGTACTATTATTTTAGAATCTATGCAACATGTTCTTTTAAACAAGCTTTGTATTCTCATATGTGAAACCAGCAAATAAAATCCAGAGATGCTTATAAAATGTCCTGCTGACTTTTAAGTTTTAAAAAAGAACTACATAAATTGTGCAAAGATATGTACTTTGACAAATTGAATTTAAATAAAATCTATTTCTTATGGTTATAAAGAGTGTGGCTTTAAATTATATGAATTGATGCTTGTATTGATTTTTTCATATATATTTTCCTAACAGCTAAGATATTTATTTCCCCCCTGTTTGCTTCTTATCCCTGCCATTATCTTTAAATAGAGGGCTACAGACATCTTCAGTCCTATGGGTAAAGATGGAGAAATAATGGCTGTAAAAAGATAAAAACAACACATACACAGAACTCTGTTGGATCTTTAAATGCATACCATATCCGAATTAGTACAGAAGCAGAGTCATGTAAACCTTTACCCCAGAGCTCAGCTTGGCCACTCAAGTTGAACTGGAGTGTGAGCCAGTGGGAAAAAGAAAAAAAATCAAAGGATTTCTCATTCCCTGCTTGCCAATGCCCCAGTCACAACTGGATGATTCCACAGGAAGATTGTGTCCAGAGTTATGCCTAGTTAGGCAAGCAGAGATTGAATACTGTTTTCTTAATGGTCCAGTTGGGCTTGCTTCATTTTGATCAGGTCATGACTAGTAGGAGAGAGATGCTGCCCAGAGTTACTGCTGCACAGATGTACTTTAAAATCATGCTTGGACCACTATGGCTTAGCTGGGTTTCCAAAATCTGAGCAGATCTGAGCGGTCAGAATGGACAGCTTCAGAGACTCAAGGCACTAAAACAAACCTGTGCTTGCCTCAGTCAAGCCTCATCGGGAAAAGGAGTTACAGAGGCAGGCCCCTTGCTACCTTGGCATAGTGCAGATGAGCTATCAGGCAGGTTTTAACTAACAAGGATAAGAGAGTTATTAATTTCTTCTTTCAACAAGTGGCACATTTAGACACTATGCTCTGATTGGAAAGAAAATGTTAGTTCTTGATTTTTCTGTAATCACTATGACCTTGCTTAGGATCCCCCCACTCTGCAGCCCTCAGTTTGTATCATGACTCTCCAGACAACACCATCAGCTACTTTCCCTGTATTTCCACAGGGCATGCAGAGACTTGTAAATACCTTCTACACAACACTGAGCTGAAGAAAATTGTGGGGCACTAAACTTGGGTCGTCTCTCTGCCTGACTATGCCACCCATCAACTTGACTTGGCTGTGGTTGCTGACAGACCTGTTTTGATATGGAGGGAACACTGAATGAAAGTCTCCTCCAGGAGACCCAAATAGGATACAGAACAAATACTTCTCTGATTTCAGATTTTCCCTTCAGCTCTCTAACAAGGCTCCTACCCTGTGATCTTAGCCGAGGAAAAGAGAAAAGATCATAAAACATGTTTCCTCAGCTGTCATCATTCTTTGCTCCTTCTCCAATCACAGTCATCTGAGACAGAGGCACAGGCATTCCAGTCACCTTTGCTCTTTGTAATGGAATTCCTTTAAATCATATTCCCCTTCCTGGGGACACTAAGCCCCAACCTGAATGATGGAAGGGGTATCTCCTCTCTAGTCTGTGCAAGATACCACATGAAATTCCTATTTCACCAACCTGGCTCTCCATATGTCAAAGAAAACTTAAAAAGTTTTTATGGTTCTTTTTTCTTGACAATATTTTCTTTTCAAGATTATTGCCTGCTATAGACTAGGAAAAAATCTTATTCCACATGCTGAAAATTTAATACTGACATCCTCTTCTTTTTTGTATTGCTGTTATAATTCTAATCCCCTTGCTTACGCACACACACAGCATACACAATAAGGAAAATAGGCACATCTAGAAAATTAGACTCTCCTACATGAATAAATGTTAAAAGGTTAAAAGGTAAATGTACATTAATAGTCTTCAAAAGTGTAGTATACCTGTATCATAAACACTTACGAAGGATCTACTATGTCTTAGGCCCTAATGATAAACACAAAAACAAGGGCTAAATTTATTAAATCTACCAAATCCACGTGTATGCATTTAGATTATATTCTAAGCGATGGAGAATCAATTTGATGTCCTCTCCTCTACAAAGGCCACCTGAATTTTCCAAGTTCACATTCCATCTAAGGTCATGTAGACCCTCATACAAAAAGCCCAGTTACATATGCTCAATTTGGTATCTGAGTGGTTAAATAATCCTGTATGGATATAACTAATTAGACCTTACCTGAATTGGTACACACAGAGGTACCGGCAATCAGAGCACAACCAGTCTTATTTAAAAATAGGCCTGAAAATACAAAATCAGGAGATCTTTAAGGAAAGAGATGGCAGCAAAATGGCAGCATAGGAGTTTCTATCACCCCAACCTCCATCAAATTGAACAACTATCCATGCATGAAAACACCCTCCTAAAAGCAGATTGCAGGTGATGGATGACAGCACCTGGGTGAAGCACAGAAGTAAGAAGGGAGGGAGAAAAGATCGGTTCACACTTACTGTCCCCGCAAGCCCATGCAGTCCAGTGTGGGGAGACACCTTCCTGCTGAGGCAAGGAGAATATAGTGAGCACCCAGTGATACCTATACAGAGGACCCAGCCCTGCACCAGGCTGACTCCTGTGGCTCTAGATGGATCCCTATGTGATCCTGTGAACCCAGGCCTCTCACCCAGCACTTGGGGGCTCCAAAACCACAAGCAGCTCAGCAGCCCCAAATGGCATTCTTAGCACCAGGTGCCCAGCGAGTTACTATAAGCCTAGACCCTGGTTTACCCTAGCGCCTGCCTACTCAGTGGCCTCAGGCAGCTCACAAAGCTCCGAGAAGCTTACAAGGAAGCACTTCTGGTGGCTGATCACAAACCAATGTCCTGTTCACTTTCTCCCGTTGTCAATCCCAGCAGCCTCAGGTGGATCCCATGGAACCAGGATCCTGAGGGCTCCCAGGGACCCAAGAATACACATCATCCCATTGTCTACTGGCAACAATGGCCCAAAGTGGTGTCCCTGGCACAAAGTTCCAAGTGGCCTCCTGTGAACCCAGTCCCAGGCTCATTCTGATGTCTGCCTACTCCAGTGTCCCACACAGCTTCCAGGACAGGGCTCCCAGAAAACTACCACAAACCCAGGCCACGTGCTCCCTCTGGTACCTGCCTACTCCAGTGGCCCTGGACACCTCTCATAGTTCTACGTGGCTTCAACCACAGGGATCCCAGGCCTCTGACAGCTCTGTAGTCCCTGGTGGCACCAGGATCCCAGCTGGCTCCCAGGAACCCAACCATTCCCCCTCATCCTGGCACCTTCCAGCTCCAGTGATCCCAAGGTGGCTCCTGCTGCAACAGATGACTTCTCTGGCACCAGGCTCCCAGTAAGTGTGACTCCAGGCCCCCAGCTCATCACAGCACTTGCTGGCTCCAGTGGTCACAGGCAGCTCCCATGGACCCAGGCAGCTTCTGTAGCCCTAGACTTCCAGCAGGTCCATCCCACACTGGTGCCTGCTAGCCCCAGAAGCCTTAGGAAGGTCCTGCGGTTCCAGGCAACTGCCTCAAGTTCAGGTTCTCAGAGGGCCCCTGAAAACTCAGGCTTCCCACCCACCAGGGACTGGCCAGCTCCAGCAACCCCACATGGCTAGTGGCCACAGGTGATTTCACAGCTCTGGGAAGCTTCCTCAGTTCCAGGCTCTTAGAACACTTATGTGAACTGAGGTCCCCAGGCCACTGTGCTAGCTGCAAGCTCCCATAGTCCCAGGCT